GCAATGACGGGAGGACAGGGTGAATAGTAAGAATAGGACTCCCCGGCGAAAAGCCGAGAGTGATCTATACTTGGAGGGATGAAGAGGCCTGTTGCAGTAGTGGGAGACTCCCCCTGGAGAGGGGCAGTGGAGATGCCTGCAGATTCGCCCATACTTCTATTGGTTTCAGACGGGAGTTGCGATCACGACAAGCGAGAAAAGGAAGGAAGGGTGTAGTCGGGGAGTGCAACTAAAGATGAATGTTGAAAGTGAAAGATGGACGCGTCCCAAACGGTTCCGGACTAGCGGCGCTTCCGCGCGTGTTTGTTCGCCGCCCTCACGGATTCCAACTCCCCTCCGCAGCATTCATTCGCCATCCCCAAGACCTGGGATTTTCTTTCCCCTCTCCGTTAAATTGCAACTACGGTGAACTCCTACAGTCGCCTACTTACGTTTGGCACGGCAGATTCCCCGCGCATCCAGCCCGGTCCGTACGCGTCTTTACCACCACTGGACCCCTCTCGTTGCCTCCCTCAAAGCTGCCGCATACAGCTCCCGAATCTTCGGAACAATGGCTCCCCGGGGCCCTGCGAAGGCTCGCGAGTATGATTATGCCAATGTCGGCAAAGCTGGAAGGTCGGTATCATCGATGCCATGTCTCATTGATCGCCCCTGTTTAGTATTTTTTTTTTCCTATCCCCTGCTCCCATTCCAGTCGCTTCCATCCATTATAATCTCGGGAGACTGATGCAGGCGACTTTCACAGGCGCACCGGGTTAATGTTGAAGGAAGGGAAACGTGATGAATATGGAATGGAAGAAGTTGATGGTATATTCTCTTCGCCCGAGACGTCGCCCGTAAAAGAGAATGGCTTCAGTGACCGAGCTGAGGATTCTACTGGTTCGGATGGCATGTCTATAGACGAAGGTGCGTTCGTGTCACAGCTCGCCATCATTTTGGCTATATACTAACGCTGATATTTATTGGGCAGGAAATGGTCCGAACCCCACCGATTTTCTCAAAAGCAGACGAAGCTCTTACTTCCCGCCTCCTGTTGCGCGCTCTCCTATGAAGACCGGGCTGACTGGCTCACCTCGGAGAACTCCCGGCTTGCGATCCTCCCAAAGTCCGCAACGCGAACAACCGTCTTCCAGTCCCTCAGACGGGAAGGGTCTGGGAAGTGCAAGGGGGGAATCACGACGAGATGTATCTCCACTTACTAGTCGTTCCATCAATGCGCCACCAGTCCTGAACCACGTCAATGGTGCACGGAACAACAAACTTAATGCTGAACCAACAGAGGAGCCTATGGACTCCGGCTTTTCCGATAGCGATGCTGAGAATCAGCTAAACACAGACGAGAACGGGCATTCATTTGTACAGACACACGACGACTTCGTTGACAGCTTCACTGCAGGCGATGACGCATTGACGGACGACCATGCAGATGAACAAGACGACACTGGCGCCGACCTGGACTCGCCGGTAACCGTGTCAGAATCCCGCAGCAGGAGAGGACAGGCCAAACCCGTTCCAAGGGTTGTTAGAGGTGTGAAAGGCGCAAGGGCCGGAGCATCCACGGCCGCGCAGGAGCATGAGATTGAGGAAGAACAGCCGGCACAAAAACGCAAACGTCCGGGGAGGCCGCCGCGAACGCAACGCAAGTCTAGCAATGAAGTGGAGAAAGAACGGCCGTCGAAAAGGCCTAGGGTATCGGACAAAGCTGATAAAAACCCAAGTCCTTCAGGCAATGCAGAGCTGGACAAAGTGGTGGAGAACTATGTCAATCGCACAGGGCCATTGAAGGGTCGGAGTCTATATATCCTGAAGCGCGAAGTACCTTCCGAAGGCGCTGCCACCCATACACGATCCGGGCGTGTTTCTGTAAGACCTCTTGCATACTGGCGAAATGAACGATGTGTCTATGGCGATGGTGAAGCTGTGGAGGGCCAGCGGTATCCGCTATCAACCATCAAGGAGATTATTCGCACGGAAGAACTCGAACCGGAGAAACCGAAATCGAATAAGCGCCGCCCTAATAAGAAGTCCAAATCAAGGAAGGGTAAAAACGACGATTCCTCGGATGAAGAAGACGGATATGTTGATCCTTGGGAGAAGGAAAGCGGGATTCTGCATGGCTATATCAGGAGGTGGGACGAGGAAGCCCAGGCAGTTGGTGAAGAAGAGGACATCGTTGGTATGTACTGTCCTTTGACTATGGTTGTCGTGTGCTAACGCATTCGCTTGTAGACCTTGCGTACGCCCCTGCTGGGATGGAGACAAGGAGTGTCAAGGACTCCTCGTGGCGGTTCGCCAAACTTCTCAGTTCGCCTTTCTTGGGCTCTGGGATCGTGGAACTGCCGCCTGGAGGAGTAAAGAAGCCCAAGAATTCCAAGAAGATGCACATGGTTTTCTACATCTGCCAGGGTCGGGTTCAAGTAGACATCTCCGGTGTTCGTTTCAGTGCCGGCAAAGGGTGTGTCTTCCAGGTACCGAGAGGTGAGTGAGCTCCGTATACACCTTCCCTTGACAAGATGGGAGACGTGGCCCCGTACCAATGGACGTTCTAATTGAGTTTGCAGGCAACTATTACAGTTTTGCCAATACGCAGAATAAGGATGCCCGGCTGTTCTTCACTCAAGGCTGCGTCCCGGTGGAGAACGACGACTCTGCTCCCGGGTCGGCGACCAAACCCGGTGCCATGGATGGGGACTCCAGCACCCCGACTGGCCGTCCGACCGGCGTAAAAGGCCGACCGAAGGGCAAACAGAAAGCAGGCGGACGTAAGGCAACGTGATCTCGTATGAAACGTTGTGTCCGGGTTTGCTCTATACGTCTCCTATCATCTTGAAACGCTCACCACCTATATCCTGCCCAGCACCGGGCTTTGACCTCTGGATTAGCGCTACTTACGTGAAATTGTTGGGATGGAAGTCTGCTTACGTCCTCAAGGCTTCGTCCCCCATCCTTTTCTTCTCCCGTGTTCTTTTCTTATTTTCTCCTTTTTTTTTTGCGGATAGTGGGTTATCATTGAACAAGAGGGCATGAGCTGTAGATTTATCGGAGTAACTTGAGGAGGATTAGGAGTACATTGTAGCAGGCTTTGCTTTCTTTTGTGTTATTCCGTGTGTTCATACTTGACGCTTTGGAAGAAATGTATCAAATCTCCTCCATGATTTCATCATCCAGGTCATCCAACTCCAACGGCGGGAAGTCTCCTACCTCGACTTTCTCAGGCTTCACGAAAACACCAGTCTTATTCGGGCAGGTGAAGAACCTTTGGCCGCCTACGCTGCCATCGTTCTTCCCCAACGGCTCATCAAGCTCAATGCCAACCCAGATAGGGAGAGCCTCGGAATCTAATTGCACCTTCTTGGGGTCCACGCCCGGGAAAGGGATCGTAGGCACTGGACCAACAAACCGAATCGTTCCTCGTCGGATATGAGGCGGGGACGAGGGCAAGACGATAGCACGTTTATCAATAGCAATACCTAGATACGTACAATCATTAGGATTCTTCTGCTTCAAACCCCAGGACTGATCCTTTTCGAATCGAAAGTTCGCGGACCCAACTCCCCCGACCCGGGTAACAAGGTCGAGGATATCTTGTTACTCACCTCTTTGTTGAATCTCCGCCGCATCTCTCTCTGATTGCTGGCGGATCGACTCTTCGGGGGTTAGAGCGTTTGGATCGAACCGGCCAAGTTTTTGGTTCTTCTTCCATGCTAGGACGGAGTTCGAGAGTGATTCGTAGGTGGATGTAGGAAGGACGTATTTCTCGACGGATGATAGGTCGGTGAAATTTGGCCGGGCTGATTGAGGCCGAGTGTCGTGGACCTAGGTTGAGACATGAGTATAGGCTCATGGTATGAACCGGCAATCCTGGTTGAGATGTGTCTCCGAGTGGAACAAAAGGAAACCAAGGTCTTAAAGAAGCAAGACATGGATTCGTTGAGCGGATGACAATCAAAACCGATCTTTAAGCAGTAACTATAATCCCAGAGGCTGGGAAAGCCGAGGATGCCGGAAATTGAGATGAACAGAAGAACAAGACCTACCTCAATCTCACAACCTTTCATCAAACCCCAATCCCCAATGATGGAGTCGTCACCTTCAACCCATTGGTCAGGACGGCCCGGGGACTTGAGAAGCAGCCGCTGGCTACCGGGAGGTACGCCAGTCATGGTCTCCAGCTTGCCTTTGAGCTGCGAGACGCTCCATGTGGGAGTGATACGACGCTCTGTTAGCAAGCGTGGCTCGGCAGTGGAGCTTGCCATGGGCGTGGTAATGGCGACAGAAATGTCCGCCGGTGTAGGTTGAAACGCCATGGTTTTGGAGCAATCCTAAGCTAGCAAGCGTGGCTGAGATAGAAGAGATATTGTGGAATCTGGACTGCTTTTAGAGCTCAACGATCTACTGCGTTGTCTCCGTCCGCGATTGCAATCCGGGGGGACTTGATTCTTTTCTATCTTCACGCATTAGATAAAGTAGTGCCAAAAAGGGATGTTCGAAAGATGAAATAAGAAGACATAAATGAACTTGGAACCCTCAGTGAATTGCAAGTAATGTTCAGGGTCAGGCTATACATCAATCATATATTTTGAGCTGCCCCGCGAGGGGCTTCCATTATAGGAAAATGTACAGAATTGGGAGGGGCCACAGGTGGGATTCCTCTGAAAGGGGGGATTATGATACTGACCAGATCAGGACGCTTTCACTGATGGAGGAAGCTAGAAGTAAGCTTGAAGCAATGGGTGGTGATATCAACGCCGAGAAGAATTGACAAGCAAGGGAATTGCTACTAGTCTCCATGTTCCTGATAAATCATGGAGATGTTTGCTTCCTTTGATGCCAAACCGCCAATGAGCACGTGGTGTACGGTATTCGATTACCTGATGATTAATATTACATACAGTATCTCCTAGAAATTACCGATACCATACAGCATACACAGAGCGAGATGACGTCTTGTGTGTAGAAAATCGGCCCCTCCTCCAAACATCCAATTTTATTCCGTTTCTTTGCACGTTTTCAGCTCGCGATCATTCAATCTACTTCTACATCGCGCTGCAGTTCAGAGGTTCGAGTTGTTTCTTAGGCTACGGCGGGGTGCGATAATCTAGAGAACGACCCCCAAAGTATCGTAGGAACACAGTTAATCTCTATCGTGGGAGGGGTCTCCTGAGGATCAGTGTGGGAAACCAAGAGAGAAAACAACCACGATGGCTGCCCCGAATGTTCCGGCCCTGGCAAACGTCCCCTCGGACGATCAGGAAGCGTACGAAGAGAAGAATGTTCATGAAGTGTACCAACAAATTGCCAGTCATTTTTCCTCCACTCGTTACAAGGTACTACTGCTTCTCACTCCGCCGAATTCAACCCCTCCTCGATAATTCAATTGCGACCTCGGAATTCTCTGTTAACCCTTCAACAGCCTTGGCCCATTGTGGAACAGTTTCTCAGAGGTTTAGAGCCCGGTTCCGTTGGTTTGGATGTGGGATGCGGCAATGGGAAGTATTTGGCCGTGAACCGTGAGGTCTTTATTGTTGCTTCCGATAGGTATGTTTCTCTCCCTTGCACTCCCGGCCATGGAATATTTCGTCTCGTCTTGGCTATTGGCTTTCAATTTCAGTTTTGTTTCTTTCTATATACTGTATTTCGTATATGGGTATTCTCATGTCATTCCTGTCCAAAAGATAAAAAAAAGAAACCTCCCCCCCTCTGTCGTTGTGCGCAGGCATTCACCTTCCATTGTATTTCAAAGCTGATCATTCCATACCAGATCCGCGAATTTGGCTCAAATTGCGCAAAAGCATCAGCCACACTCAACCATCATAGCCGATATTCTCCACCTCCCACATCCGGATTCTTTCTTCGACTTCGCCATTTCAATTGCCGTTATCCACCACCTTTCCACTCCTGATCGAAGGGTCCAAGCTATTCGTGAAATCCTGCGCACGCTAAAACCTGCCACCAAAAAATCTCCGGGTGGGAGAGCGCTGATCTATGCTTGGGCCCTGGAACAGAAAAACAGCCGTCGAGGTTGGGACAAAGGTGATCCGCAAGATATAATGGTCCCCTGGGTCATGAAGGGAACCTCTTCCGCGGACGCTCCTTCCGACGAGCCAAAGGTATTCCATCGGTATTACCACCTTTATGAGGAGTCGGAGCTCGAGCAGGATATCAACAAGGCGGGAGGTCATGTCCTGGAGTCGGGATATGAAAAAGACAACTGGTGGGCGATCGCAGCACGGACAAACTCGGAATCATCATGAGATACATGATTGCAGTGGGATCATCGAGAGCCAGCCTCGAAGCCCGTCATCCACATCTGCATAGCACTCACGACAGGAACGACGATACGAGCATTGGGCTCGTCAAATTGAGGCCTCCTCTCGAAGGTGCCCTTTCATGTGTAGCAAGATCAAAGCCAGATGAGGATAATGAAAAACGCGCACACACGCACTCGGAAGAGCTCTTGTATGACAAGCCTCCCATGAGTGAAGAAGATATACCTCCAACCAGCGCTATGCAATTCGTAATAACGCAAAACACACAGGCATAGACATCGTTTTCTTCATGCCCTCTACGGGAGGGTTCGAGGGGGAAGACCGAGGTTGGGTCCAAGATGGCTACTGTGACCACCCAGATCCAAGGGTCGCCCCAATCTATAAGGTTCGCGAGGGGCCGGAAAAGTTGGGTGCGGTGCAAATGCAGGCACTCCAGCGGTAAGCTCTTCCACGGAAGGAAGTTGGGGGGGAGGGGGGATCGGACGGGATGTCGATCCTTTTCTTGGTCGAGATAGAGACGTGCTGGCTCTGCGAGTTCGGGGCGCTGGCGGATCTATGGCAGTACTTGATAATGAGAACGGGACTACTCCCGCTCGACGCGCCATTTCCTGTTCTCCCAGTTGCCAGTGCATGGCTTCTGCAGCCCTCCACGGAATGGCCATCTCTTCTGCTACCTTTGACCACATCTCTGCTTTGAACCTGCAATGACAATCAACAACCGTCTTTTAATGATCTCGAGGCGCCGCCTCGCTATCGCATAGAACATACCTTTCGTATAACCTTGCAAGTTTGTTCTTTTTATCCTCATCCCACTCACTTCTGCGTTCCAAGTAATTCTGATAGTGTAGACGGCAACTGATGGCACTTCGGCCAGGAAGCCGTTTACTAATATCCTCCCATTTCATACCGCTTCCTCGTAGCTCGATGATAAGGGCATCCTCCTCCGGGGACCACTTGGATTGCTTTTTAGCCGGCGACTCTGCAGTGTGGGCAGGTTGAAGGCGCTTGGCAGGCACCGTAGCCGGAATTTTAGACGTAAGCTGGGGCACTGGGGGGACCGAGGACAACGATGCTGGAGCAGCTACTGGCAACGCAGGTGCTACCGAGGGCGGCGGGATTGCGCTGGGTGGGTAGCCAGGCGCTGTCGTCACCGAGGCGGCTTCCTCTTCATCCTGGGGCTTCAGCAGCAGTGAGATATCCACTTTGGCGGGAGGAGGTAAGATAGCGTGATTTTGTAACGCAATCATATGCGCGGTTCGCAGCGGAAAATTCCTTTCTCAAGTAAAGATATGTGTAGCAGAGAGCACCATATGCTAAGATGTATAGAAAATGATAGCTCAGAAGCCCAGTCTGACTAGATGCAGAGATGGAACGACCTGGGAGGGGGAAGAAGTTGTAGGATAACGAGAAGATGAAAGAGATCAAGAATATATCCACCGAAGATAGAAGCGAGAAAGCCCGGGTTACCGAAGACGTCCCAACCAGTGAGACGAATTAGTACCCTTGTTGGTACTTCTTCTGTTTTCCCCCCAAGAAAATCCACTAGTTAGTGGCGAGTGTATTGGTGGCACTGCGGCAGTGTCGATAGGGCAAAAGAAGAGAGACCGCCAATTAATCTCCGAAACTCTTGGAGTGGATGTGCGAGGGGGAGATGGATGGAAAGCAAAAAGCGATAATGCAGACAAGAGTATACGTCTGGCGAAAGTCACATATAATGACGGGGTGTTCAGGACGGAGAAAAAGTTGATATGTCCGATAGGTGTCGAGCCGATGGCGTCAAGTTGAGGTCGAACGAAATATAGTAAGGATCAGAATATGGTAGTGTTTGAACAGTCGAGAATACTTCTGGGGCTGAAGAATATACTAGGAGCAGCAGTGGGCACCAGTTAAGTATAAGCAAGATTGTCAAATAGGGTGGGATAGCAACGAGGGTAAATGGAAGAAGAGGTAGAGAAGTTGAAGACGGGAGGGAAAAGAGAGTTAGGGAAAGGGAGAAAGGGCCAGACGAGACAGATGAAACGTCTGGAGATGCATAAGAAGAAAGATCATCGGGGACCGTTGACAGCTGGTTGGCGCAGCAAATAAGAAGCTCAGCAGTAATAATGCTGCTATGGGGAGGGTAAAAGAAGCTAACGAAGAGGCGAGGCCAGGGCCAGTGGGTTCGAGAAACCGTTTAATAAATAAAGATTATTTACTAGAGATCATTAGTGAGCCGTCGTTATTATTCCTGATTATTTTTATTTTATTTTATTTAACTCATTCATTTTTCCTTTTTTTTATCACTTCTTCCTAGTTATTCTATTCTGTTTTCTTGTTCTGTTCCAATTTCATTTGCCCCTCGAGGAAAAGCCGTTATTCCTCCCCCCCCTCCCTCTCTCCTCCTCCCAACTCACTGCCTTTAGTCCAATAAAAAGTCAGTCAGAAACGGTTAAGGTCCACGCCCAGCCGTCAAGTCATAAAGGGAAGAGTATCAGAGACTACGGTACTTCCATTAGTGGGATCTGAAGTAACCTATCTATCTATCTGGTACATTGGCTTGAGTCCTGTCTGTAAGTGCATATGTTGACAGGAAGAGCGGAAGAAAAGCAAAGCAGGAGGGAGGGAATGAAGAAAACATGAAAGAAATACAATAAAAATGAATTGAAATTAATCAACTCTGATCATCATGATAATGAAATGATGAGATTCATCTTCCCTCAACAATAATCCCACACCCCCCCCCCCCCCCCCCCCCCCCCCCCCCCCCCCCCCCCCCCCCCCCCCCCCCCCCCCCCCCCCCCCCCCCCCCCCCCCCCCCCCCCCCC